CTATACCCATTTCTTCAAGGTGGCCTTCTTAGGGTTCAAGTCTCATTTTAATCTATAAGCATTCCTGGACCCTCCTCAGCTCGCTTCCCGCCGCCGCCCCCCCCCCCCCCCCCCATTAATGAAATCACCCAGGTCTGAGGTCCTCTTAGGCACCATGAATTTGGCATGTGCAAACTGTCCGGGCCCTCCACACTGTCAGAAAGGGGCCCTCTCAGACCCACCATGCCAGCGGCAAATCCTCAGCTCTGCCCGCAGCCCCACTGTGCCTTCGGTGGCCCGGACCCCTGGCCTGGGGAGCGCACAGTAAACAGCCCCATCACCCTGGCAGCTGAACATGCCAGGCTGTGTCCAACGTGCCCACCCAGCATGTGAAGTACTAAAAATGCTCCCATTTTCGAGATCTGGAGACTGAGGTTAGGACAGGGTGGGCAGCTCGTTCAGGGTCACACGTCTAGGGCCCAGTGAGCCAGGACCACAGGCAGCCCCGGTGACTCCCTGAGCAGAGGCCTGGCTGCACGGCCCTGGATCTCTGACCGGGGAGCTCACACGGAGCCCCCCCCCCCCCCGCCACCGCAGAATGAGTGGAACGCCTACTACGAGGAGGTGGTGTATGTCCTGGAAGAGATCGAACACGTGATCAAGAAGCTCCCCGAGTGGGCTGCGGACGAGCCCGTGGAGAAGACTCCGCAGACCCAGCAGGATGAGTGTTACATCCACTCGGAGCCCCTGGGCGTGGTCCTCATCATCGGCACCTGGAACTGTCCCTTCACTGTCACGGTCCAGCCCATGGTGGGCGCCATCGCTGCAGGTACTCGGGAGGGCGGGCATCAGGAGGGATCACTGTCCCAGCCCAGTGGAGCCAGAGATGGGGTGGAGCTGGGGCTCAGGGAGTGTTTGATGGGTCTGAATTTCCCCAGAGGCTTCAGGGAGCAAACTCTTTAGCCGGCCCCCCTGGTGCCCGAAGCCCGGCCTGGCTCAGAAGTGACCGAGGCCCGCCCCTTTCTGCCCGCCGTGTATGCGGGGCCGGGTGGCTCTCAGCTTAGATGCATCTGGGCTCACCAGTCCCACCAGTTGGGACCAGCTCTGCTCTCCCATCAGGGCCCAGGCCCTTCCCTCCCTTCTCTTCCCCCTCCTCCTGCATCTGAACTCCTCAGAGGGCGGATGGTGCAGCTTCTGTGGGCGCCTGCCCTCTGCTGTTCTGTCCGGTTCCGCCAAGGACGCAGAGAACGGAGGGGCTCCCGGCGTGGTCACTGGGAGGGCAGGGCCCTGACTCTTCATGCTCTGCAGGGAACGCGGTGGTCATCAAGCCCTCGGAGCTGAGTGAGAATATGGCGAACCTGCTGGCCACCGTCATCCCTCAGTACCTGGACAGGGTGAGGTGCTCCCCAGGTCTTTGGGGGTTGAGAAATAGTGAATTTTTGCAGCAAGGGGCTAAGCCTGGGGTTGGGGCCAATGACAGCCGGCCTCTCCCATTGAGGTGAATGGAGTCCCGGGGTCAGGAGAGGGGGCTCTGTTTGGTGATGGCCGGGTGGGCAGGGTGAGGAGGAAGTGTTGTGGTCTTTTCTGAGCCCCGCCTTCTCCTTGCACGGAAGGATCTGTACCCGGTGATCAATGGGGGCATCTCTGAGACCACAGAGGTCCTCAAGGAGAGATTTGACCACATCCTATACACCGGGAACACCGCTGTGGGCAAGATCATCATGATGGCCGCAGCCAAGCACCTGACCCCCGTCACCCTGGAGCTAGGGGGCAAGAACCCTTGCTATGTGGACAAGGACTGTGATCTGGATGTCGCCTGCAGGTGAGTGGCCATTCCGGCTGCCCTCCAGCTCACGCAGACCACAGTTCTGCCGTGAGGGACACAGACATCGTCCCTGCCCTCACGGTGTCTGCGGTCTTGGGTGGGAGCTGGGGGTGGGGGTGGGGTACCATACCCACAAAAGAGGTGCAAGGCAGTCTGGGAAGGCTTCCAGCGGGAAAGAGGTCGAGCCAGAATCCTTTCACATCCCACGTGCGTGGCCTTCCAGGGTGTGGGGACCCCGAGCAGAGATAACACCTGGCCATGCAGGGCTCAAGGGCATGGACAGAGAGGCACAAAGGTTGCCCACCCCAGACGTCTCCCAGAAACCCCCACCAGTCATTGATGAGATTAGCACGTGTGATGCCATCGGCCCCTGTAAACACGTTCAGGGACATGCGTCTGCTCAGTCCAGTGTCTAGAAACCAGTGGGACGTTAGGGAGCCTCTGGCTTCTGGGTACCTGAGAGCTCTCCCCCAGTGCTCAGCCCCTCCTACCTTGACCCTGAGATAATGGAATAAGATGTTTGTCCGAGGGAGCCTCCCATGCCTCCCGGGATGCAATCTAATCTGGAATTTTCACAGACGCATCGCCTGGGGGAAATTCATGAACAGTGGCCAGACTTGTGTGGCCCCGGACTACATCCTCTGTGACCCCTCCATCCAGAACCAAATTGTGGAGAAGCTCAAAAAGTCCCTGAAAGTGAGTGTTGGTCCCTGGGGCTGAGTGAGAAGCTGCAAGGCAGTGAGGTGGGTCTAGACTTTAGAACACACTGGATTTTTTTTTTTTCCTGGTCATCAAAATAATCCACACTCACTGTAAATAATTTGGGAAAGGTTATAAAAGGGGGTGCCTGGGTGGCTCAGTCGGTTAAGCGTCCACCTTCGGCTCAGGTCACGATCTTGAGGTTCGTGGGCTCGAGGCCCGCGTCAGGCTCTACGCTGACAGCTCGGAGCCTGGAGCCTGCTTGGGATTCTGTGTCTCCCTCTCTCTCTGTCCCTCCCCCGATCACATTCTGTGTGTCTCTCTCTGAAAAAGAAACATTAAAAGAAAGTTTTCAGAAAAGGTTATAAAGGAATAAAACGTAAAGAAACAAAAGCTCCAGCTAGAAACCCACCGCCTCGACAATCACTGCCGCCTTCCTGGTACGTCCCACACTCTTCCTTTCCGTGAAGACACACATTCGATCTTCTGACAACGTCCACACAACTGTGCACAGATTTCTTTCAAATAATGCTGTCTCGCAGCTGTTCATACGCCGTGAAAGTTTGGAGCACTGCAGGTGTCATGACAGCTCAGCAGTCCTGGGCTAGATGGTGCCCCTGGGTGCTCCCAGGCCAAGGTCGCCCGTCAGCCAATGGCCATGATGAGGGTCCACGTCCTCACCTGAGACCTGTCACCTCTTGTCCGCAGGAGTTCTACGGGGAGGATGCCAAGAAGTCCCGTGACTACGGAAGGATCATTAACTCCCGGCACTTCCAGAGGGTGATGGGCCTGATGGAGGGTCAGAAAGTCGCCTATGGAGGCACTGGGGACGCGGCCACCCGATACATCGGTGTGTGTGCTCGCCCTTGGTGTGTGTGCGCGTGCCCGCTGCCAGGGTCCCCGCGGGTGGACAGCTATCCTTGAGGAGCAGACGCGATCCAGTGGGCCTGGCGGGGGAGGGGGGAGGGGGGATGCTCCGGGAGTCTCGGCAGGCAGGGACTGGGCACGACTCCTGGGAAGCCTATCCCCAGCCCAGAAGCCCTCTGCCCACCAGGCCCAGGCGGCATCAGCAGGGGGTCTGAACGGCAAGGCCCCAAGAGTAACAACTACCCAGCTGGAGGGGCCCCCGGTGCCCAGGCTTGAAGGTCACCCGATGCGACCCCGCTCGGCCCCCAGCTTGTCGGAGACTGAAGGGCTCTGGCAGGGGCTCAGGTGGCCAGCGGGGCACAGTGCCCGCCCGCTCCAGATGTGGACCCTGGGTTTCCCCCACGTGTAGGTTAATCCACAGTTCTCTCCTTGGTCTGCTGTGATGGAGCCCAGGCAGGGGTGGGGGGGGCTCACCCGCGCCCCACCCGAATCCTGTACAGGAATTGAAGGAAGAAGCTAGGTGCCTGGGCTTGCAGGGCGGGTGGGGGCCTCTGCACCCGCTGACTCTCGCTTGTTTCCCGTCCCAGCCCCCACCATCCTCACAGACGTGGACCCCCAGTCCCAGGTGATGCAGGAGGAGATCTTTGGGCCCGTGATGCCCATTGTGTGTGTGCGCAGCCTGGAGGAGGCCATCCAGTTCATCAACCAACGGGAGAAGCCCCTGGCCCTCTATGTGTTCTCTCTAAATGACAAGGTAGGCCTGGGGTGCCCTCCTCCCAGGGTCCTGGGGGGGGGGTCCCAACACAGCACTCGCGTGAACAGGATCCAAGGGTCCATGGGCCCAGGTTCAAATCCCAGTGTCACTGCTTACCGCTGTGTGATCTTGGGCAAGTCACTTAACCTTTCGGAGCCTCTTTGTCCTCCGCTCTGAAACCAGTCCATCGACTTGACCCCCCAAGGCTCTGGGATGTGCCCAGACAGAGTGGGGAGGGGCCTGGGGGGGGTCCGGGAAGGAGACTGAAGCGGGGGTGGGGCCGGCTGCTGTTGCAGGTGATTAAGAAGATGATTTCGGAGACCTCGAGTGGCGGCGTGACGGCCAACGACGTCGTTGTCCACAACTCTGTGCACTCCCTGCCTTACGGGGGTGTGGGTGAGTCTGGGGCTGAGCTCACTGCCTGCCTGCCCCCTCCAGGTGTCCCCCCTCCCCAGCCCTGGGTTGGGAGTTCAGGAGGGACCAGAGCAGCCCTGGGCCTCAGACCCCCACTAACCTCTCCTGTGTGGGCCTCTGGCTCCGGCCGGCACATCCATCAGCCATGTTCGCCCTTGAGACCCTAGAGGGTCCTAAGGGTCACCTGGTACACCAGTCCTGCTTCAGGGAGGCCCTGAGAGAGGGGACATGGCCCGGAGGTCCCACAGCTGAAACAACTCTTCTGAGCACCTTCTGTTGTCCCCAGCGTGGACGTGTCCCTTGGGGCATCCGCCAGGGATCGGCCACCCCTGGGAGGCTCAGAGAAAGGGCACGTGAGGCTTGTCGGCAGGGTCTGGGGGGTCTCAGGCCACCGGGGGCTGAGCCAGCTCCTCCCCGCAGGGAACAGCGGCATGGGGTCCTACCACGGCAAGAAGAGCTTTGAGACCTTTTCCCACCGACGCTCTTGCCTGGTGCGGCCTCTGCTGAACGATGAGTCCCTCAAAGCCAGATACCCCCCAAGCCTGGCCAAGGTGAGAGGTGGGGGCGGAGGCGGTCGGGGAGACTCGGCTGCTGGGAGCCCCTGGGCCCGCGCAGGACACGGGCCTCACTGCCCCCTTGTGTCCTCTTCGCAGATGACCCGTCACTGAAGTGCTGCACCTGGCTGGCCTCCCCGCGCCGCACCCCTGCCCCTCTGTCCAGCCCTGGGAGAATTGCTCCCGGAGCCCCCCTCTTGCTCCCCTGAGGATCACTGCATGCCCCCACTCCCATCTGGGCCCCGGGCCTCACTTCCCCAAGTCCCCGCCCCCTCGCTGGACACGTAGAGACCAATAAAAGTTCCCCAGCCGGACCAAGGAGTGTGTGCGCCTGCTTCCTTTGCAGCCCCTGTATCCTCCCCGGTCCCGTGCCCCCGCCCCAGCCAGTTCTCATCCCGACTTGCACTGAAGGCCTCCCCAAAGTCCCGCGTTGGCCCCCAGAGCCCCGAGGCGGGAGCCACTGGTGTCCTGGAGCCATTTATCCTGCATCTCGACTTGGGGAGTGAGCTCCGTTTCTGCCGTATCCAGCGAAGGGGTGACCGAGGGGGCTGTCTTGATGGCAAGTGGCTCGGAAACTGGAGGCCAAAGTGCTCCTCTCACATTGGGTTTGGCACCCAGGGCAGGGGTCCCTCGGTGAGACCATGCAGGGGTCAACACGAAACCCTTGGGTGATTTCCGAGCGCAGCTCCTGGGCGGAAGCCCCCTCCCCTCGCCCCCGCCCCAGGTCCCACAGTGCCTGACAGTTCTTGGTCAGGGAGCGCCTGGGCCCGGGAGTCTGGCCTCGGAGGCCTGAAGAGCTGGGACAGGGTCCGGGGAGGATGGTCCGAAGCAAGAGCCAAGAATCAGCCCAACCTGGCCAGCAGGTGGACAGGGGTAGGTGGGGGAGAGACCTGCCCAAGCGAACCGGGTTCATGGCAGGCTGGCGCCCCCTCCTGGCGGCAGGTCGCAATGACTGAGGCTGGCCCCTCTCTGAGATGAAGGTGGTGGTGCTCACAGGAGCCTTGACTGTGAAAGCATGGCCGTCCTCCCCGCACCACCCCCACCCCCCACCCCCCCGCCTCCGGTGCCAGAACGTCCTCGCTCCCAACAAAGGCCAACCCTCCACTTGTCCCAGGGCCACCTGCCTCTCTCCACCTTGCCTGCTCCTGACCTTGACTCTCATCGTTATCCCCCTTGGAGCTCCCCTCCGTCGCTGGTCCCCTTTCTGGGCTGGATCATTCCCAGCCTCTGATATCTCACATCTTATTTCTCCTCCCCCCCCCCCCAACCTAAATACAACCTCAAATAAAAGCCCTTAAGCTGTTACCTGGGCTTCATCCCCTCCACTTGAGGGGAAGCGGAGGGGGACCAGGCAGAGCGTGAAGTTTTGTAACTGCTTGGATGTTCACTGGGTGCACCATTTCCTTATTTTGCAAATATCCAAACAATTTACTCATGCAGCCCAAATCCTCCCCGGAACCTCTGCCCCTCTAATTAGTGCCTCCTTTCCCCATTCTCCTGCCCAAGAGAGACTCATCCAGACAGTGGGTTATCTGCTCTCGGACAGCCCAATGCTTCCACAGAGCCAGCCAGGTGAGCCTCTGTCACCTCTGCTCCGCCGAAACTGCTCTCGTCTGGGCACCGCCAACCCCCAAGTGGGCAGACTCACCGTCCCACCGCCCAGCCAGCCTTCCCAGCCCTGCTGCCCGGTCACCCCTCCTTCCAACACCCCTCACCTCCGGGGTCCTGGGACTCCATGCCTCGACTCCCCTCCTACCCTGTTTCCAAATTAAAGTCTCCAGTTCTGGCTCTGAGCTCCTAATCCATATATCCAGCTGCCTACCTGACATACGAACTTGGAGTCTTTCGCCCCCCCCCCCATGTTTATTTATTTATTTTGAGAGGCGGGAAGGGCAGAGAGAGAGGGAAGGAGGGAATCCCGAGCAGGCTCTGCACTGTCACCACACAGCCCAACACAGGGCTCTGTTCCAGGAACGGGGAGCTCATGACCCGAGCCAAAATCAAGGGTCGGCCACTTAACCGGCTGAGCCACCCAGGTGACCCTGAACTTGGATTCTTAACACGAACGTATTGCTAGCAAGCCTAGGACAGAGCTCTTGATTTTCCTCTCTAAGCCAACGTGGCCTCATCCCTCAGAGGATGGCTCAAGCCTAAACCTGGGAGGCATGCTGACTCCCTGCTTTTCTTTAGGGCCAAGACCTCAGCAAGGCCCCCCAGGGGGTGGGGGGGAGGGTGCCTCCAGGTAGCGCCCAGGTAAGTCCTGCTCTGCCTTCTCACCATCACACTCCTGGTCTGGGTACTACAGAGAGTCTCCCGAGTGGTGTCCTTTCTTTTGGTCTTGCTCCCCACCGGTTCATTCTTCCCTGAGCACCCAGAGGAGATTCCTAGACCAAAAATCAGACCATGCCACTGCCAGGGCAGATAATTAAAAATAAGAGGCTTCATCCCCTCCTGTCAAAAATAAAGGAACAGGTTTTTCTCCCTTCTGTTTGCTTACTTCCGAAAACTTGTCAGGGTATGTTCTTTCTCGGTCTCTTTGAAACCTGCGTAAGTCTTTTTAAAAGCTAAGAAAGCTTCTAGCCAGCCTCATAAGCCGGGGGCTCTTCTTCCTTCCCGAGGACCTGGGAGCGACCTTTTTGAAAGGGGAACAGCCAGCCAAACAGCGCCCCCTGTCTCCCAACGTAGGAGCCGCACTTTACCAGCACCTTGCTTCAAGTCGCAGAACTACCTCCTGTCGTGAAGATAGACGTTTGTCCTCTGGATGAAGCCAATTAGTTAACACAGATAGTGTCCCCGAATACCAGCCAAAGTTAGGATGACCCTTGTGAGACGAATGGTGCTGTGACGTCCTCTTATTGGAGGCCTAGTCATCCTTCATCTTGAGAACGTGTGTGATGGAATGTTCCGCCTGGCTGCGTAAGGGGGTGGGATTCCTTTCCGTCTTGGCCACTTCCTAGCAGATTGCCTGTGGGTGCCTCACATTCTGCTTTATTTTTTTTTTTTTAACTTTATTGGTTTTGAGAGAGCGAGACAGAGAGAACACAAGGTGGGGAGGAGCAGAGAGCGAGGGAGAGAGACAGAATCCCAAGCAGCCTCCTCACTGTCAGCACAGAGCCCGGCACAGGGCTTGAACTAATGAACCGTGAGATCATGACCTAAGTCGAAATCAAAGAGTCAATCAAAGAGTCAGTTTGCCTCTCAAAAATACAGAAAACTAATAAAAAACCTTTTTTTTTTTTTTAATGCGAGCACTGACCTCTGTCGTATTCACCGTATATCCCTAGAGGCTCAGTCAGTGACTAGCTCATAGTAGGTGCTCAACAAATATTTCCATGAATGAATTTACATGACGTCATTGGGGTTTGGTTGCTCCAAATTCCCATTCTTCCTGCCATCTTCTCATCTGAAATTACCTTACTTTAGGTGACTATAAGCTCACATGAGCCAACTGTAGAATAAAACAGCCAGAAACTGAAAACATCTTAACAGTAAAGACAACACCCTGGGGGCGCCTGGGTGGCTCAGTCCATTAAGCAACTTATTCTTGATTTCGGCTCAGGTCACCATCTCAGGGTTTGTGAATTAGAGCCCCGCAACGGGCTCTGCGCTGACCGCGCGGAGCCTGCTTGGGAATCCTCTCTCTCTGCCCCTCCCCTGCTCATTCTCTCTCTTTCAAAATAAATAAACTTTTTTTTTAATGTTTATTTATTTTTGAGACAGAGAGAGACAGAGCATGAACGGGGGAGGGACAGAGAGAGAGGGAGACACAGAATTGGAAGCAAGCTCCAGGCTCTGAGCTGTCGGCACAGAGCCCAACGCGGGGCTCGAACCCACGGACTTGGAGATCATGACCTGAGCTGAAGTCGGAGGCTTAACCGACTGAGCCACCCAGGCGCCCCTATAAATAAATAAATTTTAAAAAAATAATAATCAAAGACCGATCAAAGACCTGATCAAAGACTTCGGGTCCCTTGTCTTCCCAGAGGCATCGCTCTGATAAGTGAGAGAGCAGAGCCAGGGGTGGGGGGAAGGAGGAAGCCCACTTCCTTCTCTCCTTCACCAGCACCCACCGGCAGCCCCACGCAGTAAGGCTTGTGAGCCCGTTTATAGGTTAGGAAACCGAGGTTCAGGAAGCATTGTCACTTGGTCTCACTTCACTGTGCCCAGCCACAGGTACCGCGTCCCTAGGGCATCTGCTCTTTCCTGATACTACAGAAATGTCACCTGCAGTGACATTTTTTTTTCAACGTTTATTTATTTTTGGGACAGAGAGAGACAGAGCATGAACGGGGGAGGGGCAGAGAGAGAGGGAGACACAGAATCGGAAACAGGCTCCAGGCTCTGAGCCATCAGCCCAGAGCCCGACGCGGGGCTCGAACTCGTGGACGGCGAGATCGTGACCTGGCTGAAGTCGGACGCTTAACCGACTGCGCCACCCAGGAGCCCCTAAACATTTTTTTTTTAATTCTTTCTTTTTTCCTTTTTTTCCCCAAGTTTATTTATTTTTGAGAGAGAGTACACAAGCAGGGGAGGGTCAGAGAGAGAGGGAGAGACCCAGAATCCGAAGCAGGCTCCAGGCTCCAAGCTGTCAGCAGAGAGCCCGACGCAGGGTTTGAACCCACAAACCATGAGATCACAACCTGAGCAGAAGTTGGACATTCAACTGACTGAGCCACCCAGCGCCCCTTTTTATTCTTTTTTAAGTGTTTATTTTATTTTTGAGAGACAAATGATCAGGAGAGGGGCAGAGAGGGAGGGAGAGACAAGATCCAAATTGGGCTCTGAGCTGACAGCAGAGAGCCCAATGGGGGGCTCAAACGCATGAACCTCGAAATCACGACTTGGGTGGAAGTCAGACACTCAACCAACTGAGCCACCCAGGTGCTCCCTAATTCTTTATTTTTCAATATTTGCTATTGTTTATTTTATTTATTTTGAGAAAGAGAGAGAGTGGGGGAGAGACACAGAGAGAGAGAGAAGAATCCCAAGCAGGCTCTGCACTGTCAGCACAGAGCCTGACACGGGGCTCGATCCCATGAACCATAAGACCACAACCTGAGCCGAAATCAAGAGTCGGATGCTCAACCGACTGAGCCACCCAGGGGCCCCATTTTCTTTCTTTCTTTCTTTCTTTCTTTCTTTCTTTCTTTCTTTCTTT